TTATGACCACCCTATTGAATCTTAAAGTAGAGTATTTTAAATTTACATTTAGGCCTACATCAAATTATATGTACAAAAGTAACATGTATAAGGACAATAGATTCAACATTCATATATAAAATGCTGATTCTGATTATTGTACGAATGGTTGAATTAATCGGAACAACACACCAACAACTCGATTCAATAAGTTCGTTTAAGTGCACTGCAATACTATTTATTATGCAGAATAAAGGATATCAGTATAAAACATTTTATTAGTTCTTTCAGTGGCCCCGATGTAATTTAACGTAGAACCTGTCCACTGCCAAGTCTTATTGAGATTTAAGACTTAGATCAAAAAGAAAGAATGATTTTGAACTTTTTAAGAGTAAAATTTATAGCTATTCCAATTCACCTTGTGATTTTGCAAAAGCCGCATCATTAATTCTGGTTGAACGGGTGTCGGAGCCGTGGTGTTTAAGGTTGTGTCATTAATCATGATTGGAATCTGTTGGCGAACCTCTCCATTAGTTTTTATTTCCCTAGAGAACTGACCTATTGACTTCTCTCAATTCAGTTCAAATAAAGTTTTTCGTATTTTTCCAATAATAACTCTTAGCCAAACGGTATTCATATTTTTTTTTAATTTTACGTGGTTAAAAACCTATCTACTTATGATGAAAAGTCCTTAACATAGTTGCAAAAAATTTTTAATAACAATAATAAAAACAAATATTAGCTTTTCAATGTTTGAATTTGGATTCCATTCGAATTAACTATATAGATTTCAATTAATAATTCTAATTCAACAATCACATTTTCTTAGTAAAATAAAATCTATAATACAATCCACACCTTGGCGTACATTCTACTCAGTTCACAAAACTTAGGCTTCCTAGCTGAATAAATCCACCTTTCCACTTGACCCTACCTTTAAAGCAATAGCTCCACAGCTGAGGTTTGCCAGAACGTCAATCAGCTGCGAAATTATGTTTTAAGAAAAAAAAAAGTATGGGGACAACTTCTCCTCAAACCACCCAAATTCTTTAAACCTACTATAGTAATAGATACACACTTCAATTGGGCTGTTTTAAAACTTAATCCTAGCGATTTGCTAGTGCCATGTCACAGAGATTATTTCTCTAACAAACAAAATAAGAACACGACATTGAAACGAATTCTGCATATTTTTTACAAGGCTGTTATTGTCAATACATATGACTTTTATACTCAAAGATTGACCTCTAAAACAACGGCTTTACAGTCAAGTCAAGCCTGAGGGAGCCAACCAGCCGCAAGAAGCATCTACTGATTGTAACAGGGAACCTCTTTAGATGACGACAGATTCGAGACATCCAGGTACATCAGAAGTAACAAACAAAATCAACATCAGATCCTCCCCTACAACAAATACCGCACTGCATCTAGCATGACAAATCCTCATACACAATAACATGGGGAAAATAACCGACAGTATTTAAATACAGTGTGCGAATTAAGTGCTAAACAAATCTGTATTTTTAAAAACCAAATAGATAGAAATATTCTGTTTGTTGTATTGATTCATAACAAAGTTTCCGCTAAATTCTACACCAAAAAATATTTATAACCCCCCTAACAGGGTAGAGGGTAGGCGGTGACATTTTTTTCAAATAGCAACCCTTATTGAGTAACCCATGATTTTGAAGGGCTCGTCAAAAGAAATACAGTGATGCAAATCCGAGGTAAATATCTATCCCCTAGACAAAATGGCGGGTATTCCAAAATGGGTGCTTTTTCACATAAATAAAATTTTAGAATACCCGCCATTTAGGCTAGGGATGAAATATCTACCTCAGGTTTGCGTCATTGTATTTCTTTTGACAAACATGAGGGGTCACTCAATAGGGGTTATTATTAAAAAATAAATTACCCCAATCCTTTACCCTGTTAAGAAGGTTAAAAGATATTGTTGATTTACAAAATTGATGAGCATATGTTAACAATCAATTCCACAAACAGAATATTTCTAATTATTACGGGTTTAAAAATACAGATTTGTTTCCTTGCTGCTTTTCCACATACAGTAAATCAAATTTTGGAATACCTGTCGTTTTGTCTAGGGATGAGATATCCTTGGGTTTGAGTCTTGTTTTTATTTTGTTAAATCCTTCAAAAAAAGGAGTCACTCAATAGGGGTTGCTATTTGAAAAAAGCAAGTCACTCCCTACCCAGTACCCTGTTAGGGGGGTTGAAAATATTTTTGATGTAAAAATTATGGAACCTTTGTTAACAGTTAACGCTACAAAAAGAATATTTCTACCTATTTCGGTTTAAAAATAATATTTGTTTCAAGACTTAATTTACACACTGTATATCTTTTACACAATTAATAAAAATATAGAACTCATTAAAAATGAAATAAGTAATGATTCGCGGATTGATATGGCTTTTAAAATGTGCGTTATGAAATTTATGTGTTTTATGCATTTTACAGGATTTAAAACTCACTCTCACCACAGAAAACCTACAGACTAAATAAATTTTAAATTGCCAGATTGTATTTCCAAATATTTAAATACCATTAGTTTTAACGAGTTCTTAGGCCTTCTGCTACAGGGAGGGTATTAAAGTGAGTTTTTTGGCAAATTAATAAAAGTCTAGTAAAAAATAAATAAATTGGTTAAGTTTGATCAAAATATCCATTAACAAGCAAACTACAACAAATTAACTTATTCTCCTGAAGAATAACAAGGGAATTTCGAATTTACAATGTTTTGAATTTCGTCCGTGACCAATAAGCATACAAAACAATAACACTTCAATATAGTAAATTATTTGTTCTTTTAAGTTTATTTAAATGGCTAAATATATATTGAACATTTTTATTTTTTCACGATCAAAAATGAGAAAACCTAATTTTTACTCCATAAACCCCGTTCAATGGTCCGATCATTTGCGAACTCATTCAAGTTACGCCACCCTACACCTTCAAGTTTATATCATCAAAATCGGACAACAATTACTCAAGTTATCGTGTTTGCGGACACACTCATAAATATATACATAAATACAACTTTGAACGAATAGTGTTTTTAGCCTCTGGGGACATCAAAATGGTAAAGTAAACGTCGTGAATGGCCCCAGGTCTGTGTCTTACCGTGCACCCATGGTAATAGCTACTTAACTATAGGGATAATTGCTAAAATTAATGAGGTATGAAAGAACATTCACATTTTGTTATATTAAAAAAAAAAAATCAAAAATAGTAGTGCATATATAATTGTATAAAAAAATTACATTTTTTAATTTACCTAAGAACTAAAAATGGAGCCATATTATTTACATAGATTGCCTAAAATACAAAAGAACTTCGTTTCTAATTTTTTTACCAATACAGTAATTTTTCGGGTAGACAGAAAAATTAGTGGGGTTTTCCGGAATATGGGATTTAAAAAAAAGCCTAAACATAATTACTGGCATAAAATGTACCACTCAAAACACTTGTCATAGAAATAAGTTGAACATGAATTAATAAATAATGGGATAAATAAATATGCAAGTAAGTCTGGGAGGCCATGAGATCTTCGTCCCCGCAGTGCTACCGTATACATTTTGTTACAGCACTTTTGGGAGTAGCATCTCAAAAACTCATTCCGCGCTGACACAAACTGCAAATGCATTCAAACGATGACGATTTTCTGTTTTATAACGCTAACAAAATAGCTTCAGATTTCATTACTCTTGTATCTACGAAAATTATGTTTGTATTATTTTTAGTAACACAGTAAATTTAAAACGTGTTATAATATCGTATTAATCTACGCTTATATTGGACGTGTTATATTTCTGAAGAACTGTAGTAATGTATTATGCTAATGTTCAGAAATTATACTATAAGATATCTTACATAAAGCTAGCTAAACTGTTTCGTTAAATTTAAATCTGTCTGAAAATAAATACTCACTCAAAATTAAATTGTCTGTGTTGTAATGATAAAAATGCTGCCGGCGTGAAGCACCACCGTTAACAACGCTCATTTAATAACTAACTATACAAAAGAGTTTAACATAGAGAACTACAGATTCGAGTCATCCAGGTACATCAGAAGTAGCAAACAAAGGCTAGTTAAAGGATAATGTTAAAGTTAAGAAAAAATAGTGCTCAATAAGAACAATTAAATGGTACTGATTTGTGGGCGTGAGGTATCTCATTTAATAGGTAGGGTATCTTCACGTTTTGCCCCACCCACAACATTGAGAAATAAAATATTTTCACTACCAGAAAAAATAGTGCTAAATTAATGCTGTAAAACGGTATAAATATAAAATTTAATCTTCATCTTATGAGACTGAGAAATGGGTCTCTTTTTAGGTCAAGAGGTCAACCTGCCTCTCCCACATAAAATATTACCTTTAGAGTTTTGTAAAACATTAGTGCTGTCAAATGGTATGAATATAAATATAATTTGCTCATCATTACGTCAGTTTGATGTAATTAGGTGAGTAGATCAATCTTCTGTAAAATCCTGGAATGCAATAGCTTATGATCCTTCAAACAATAGCCCATTTTATGCTTAATAATAAAAAATTAACGGTATCAGCATTCTGACACATACTTTCTCCCATAAGTTTGTCAACAACCTTTATCATGTGTAAGCGGTGAGAGTAAACGAAAACGTGAGAGTATACGGAAATGGGATTTGTACAATTTTGTTCAGAATTTAAGGACTATTATCATACTACATTTTTATAAAAAATGTTCGGGCCATTTTTGGGAAAATCCGATTTTCCGTTATTTTATGGGGTTTTTATGGGGAAAACTAAAATTTTCAAGTTTTTTTTTTAAATCTTAAAACCCACTCCAACTACATTCACCACTTACAGTTGAGTTGAATGCTTTTCATTCTACAAACTCAGTACGATGTTTGGTATTAGTCTAAAACAAATCATCAGCAAAGGCTTTATCAGAAGGTCAATGTTATAAAATGCTATCTGGGTGACCAAGTACTATCAAAGTTTAACACAAATACTCTTCAGTTCATGAGGTATAGAAGAACACGATGGATTTGAGAATTTTGTGGTTGTGTCTCTTGATCTCATTTGTAGATAAGTCAAGGTCTGGACCGATGATTTTTTCGGATGAACAAGGAGACTTTTCTATAGGTAAGTATTTAAGTTGTTTTACCACTGTCAACATGTTACAGAAAAAGTCATACTAAGCCAAATATGAGCCAACAACAGAAAATGCTGATTTCAGTTACTTATATCTAAATGTTGAACTTGGGTCACATGTATATCTATACTACTTGAAACGGGGTTTTTAACCACTAATCCATTTGACTAATAATTTCAACATTTGAAGTGTCAAAAGTTCGTCTTATTTTGTAGTTTTGTAGATTTTAGAATATAAAAGTTCTTTCTCTTAAGGGCACGAGGCGCTATTAAAGTTAGATTTTCCCCATAAAACTACATAGAACAAATTTAAAAACAAAACTCGGCTGTAATTTTGCATAGTGGTTTTCATTTTTTGTAATTTTTATTTGTTTGGACAGGGTCTTCCGCCAAAGTCGGGGTTTCTCCCATATGGTTGGTTAATTTGGGGGGATAATGTTTTTTCTATTTTGTTTATTATTGATTCACAGTTTCAATACAGCAACTGATCAGATAGTCTGTTTTTATTTTAAGTAATTTCAAAGCTAAAACAATATATTAATATGTGATGGTTCCTATAATGCGCACGAACATGTTTGGTTTGCTAGTGAATGGACTTAATGGTTTTAATCTGATATAACTAGGGAATATTCACATCATATTACAGCATTAAATGACTGAAAAAGGTTATGTCGATTTCAGTACACTGCAAGAAGTCAAACTTGAAACAAAAGCCTGATATTTTACGAAGTATTGCTGATACTTAGTAAATGAGGTTATGATAAGCTGTGCTGTTTTTTATTTTACCCATCTGATAGAAAATAAAATATTATACACTTTTGAAGACAATAAACAAATTCACCATGGGAAAACGTATCCAAAGGTGTGCCTAATCAAAGCCCATTTTCTCTCTTATTTTCATTGTAGATATTCTAGCTAATAATAAAGAATTTATTGTTTTGCCAAAGATGCTTTGAAGAAACAAATTATAGTTCAACTGAGATGTTTTCTTATCTCAAAGGTTTGATAAACGTATAGAGCTTTAGTTTGAAAACACTTATTGTTACTTTATACACATATTGCCAAAACCTGTTGTTTATTTTTAATTACATATTTTATTTTATTTTATTAAAGCACATAAACTGTAAAAAAAGTTTAGAGTTTACGTAGTTTATGCTGTTAAATTTAAATTATAATATTCATACCAAAATTATGCCCGCTTTACATTCAACTTAAGAGTAAAAATGGATATTCGTACTTTTACTAAATCTAATCTGCACAGCTGTTGTACGAAATATATTATTGAAATTGGTTGTAATAAAGATCTTATTGTTTTTAGTAGACCTACTATTGCAATTAACTGCAATTAAACAATAAATTACTTATTATAAGCTAGAAGATGTTAATATTGGACATTAACAAGAATACCTAAATCGCAATAATTTAATTACAAACGATTTATCAAAAATCTATGTTTAATTTCTTAGTTTTTGTGTAAAATTTATATGTACTGTTTACAATCCAATATAAGTTTAATAATGCATTTAAATAATGTATTATGCATGCCAATATATTTACTAAACGTTATATGCTTTATATCATCTTCCATATTTATGTTTCAGAAAAAGAGTGTCTCACAAACGATGAGTGTATTTCAGGGAAGACATGCATAGCTAAGAAATGCACAGATCCTTGTGACAGCGTGTGTGGACTGAACACAATATGTGTGGTACACGAAGGAGCTCCTGTGTGTTCCTGTAAAACTGGCTACGAAGGAGACCCGTTTACGGAATGCAAACCACGTATGTAGGCCTAGATTCACAAGCTTAACCATTAAAATATATTTATTTTGGATAGTTTCTTTTGATAGCTTGATAACTCGATACAGCATTATCCAATTATGATTAAATTTGGTAAACATGTACACCTGAGTTTATTGAAATGAGTTCGCGAACCAGCATGATTGGACTATGGGAACGGGGGTTTATGGGAGGTTTTATGGGGTAAAATTTTTTCCCCGTTTTTGGCCCTAAAAGCATAACATTTGGCAATTTATTTCCAAACTATTTTGAAGAACTTAAAAAACAATTAAATTATTACTAGTGTACCTGTTGCTCGAATTCGAGCAATTGCGAAGCACTACAGGCGACTCAAAAATTATGGAAATACTCACGATCTACACAACAGTTAGATATAATCAAAATCTTTTGTAAATATCTTATCTTTTTTCAAAAGGGTGATCTTGATTTTTGAGCGTTTTTAGTGTAAAAAAAAAACATTATTTCTATTTCTTCTACTTAGTTGTGTTCTATGACTTTTTCTATGTTTCCATTGTTTGCAAATCGGTTATTTCAATGATTGCTCAAGAAATGTAGCACAGTGTTAATTGAGTTTAATTTTTAGCCTATATCAAATTGTCCAGGATTTCTAGCTCTTTTCCATTGTAATAATTACAAATCAAATCATCTTTATTTTTGCACAGAAAAAAAAACTGTATAATAGCGTCACAAGAATATATAATAAAACTAAATTATAAATGCTGTTAGAACTAAAACGTAACTGAACAGTATCTTAATTCGATCGGTAACTTAAAAAATCTTTCACAGTGTAGGGAGCTTGTTCCAAGAGTATGCGTTTGACCGCTCTCCCAAATTTGTCTTTGTCTTGCTCCACTTTCAGGGGTTCAGGCAACACATTGAAAAACCTGATACTATTATAAAATAGGTGTCTCTCAAAGAAACTTGTCCTGTGCTTAGGTAGCTTAATATTGTTTTTTTGTCTGAGAGTGTACTGCATTGAATGGAACTGCGGTTGATACAGATGATAATTTCTTTTTAAAAACGATAGACAACTGAGTATGTATATGGATGGAAATGTGAGAATATTGTATTCCTTGAAGAGAGGCTTGCAAGAAGTACGACGGGATATTCTGAAGGCTGCTCTTAGGGTTTTTTTCTGAAGACGGAAGACAAACTTTGTTCGTACGCTCTCACAGCCCCAAACTGCCACCAAATACAACAATAATGGGTAAATCAGTCCATAATAGGCACTCAAGGTTACACGAGAATCGGTAAACCTCGAAAGACCTCTGATCACAAAAATTCCTGTGCTAATTCTTCTGGATATGAGCTCTATATGGTCATGAAAGTTGAGCTGTCTGTCTAAAACCAAACCAAGAAACTTAGTATTGTTGCAAGAAGAGATCTCTTCGTCACCTATCAAAACAGTCAGTGGGACTTGCTTTTTTGAGCTGTTAATATGGTATTGGAGCATTTTTGTTTTCTTGCAGTTTAGAAGAAGTTTGTTGTTTAGGAACCATTGCAAAGCTCTATTGGAACTCTCAAATGCTGTTGTCTCTAGATGAGCCACGTCTTTAGCTGAGACGCAAAGTGAGGTGTCGTCGGCATATAAACAAACATCTACATTTGAACTTGGATTATTTGATACAAAAGAAGGCAGGTCATTAATGAAGAGCAAAAACAGGATTGGGCCGATGATAGAACCCTGGGACAACAGACGAAGCAGAGGTAGCATGATTACAAATTCCTTGGGAGTCAACAAAGGGTATCCGGACTGATTGAGTTCTTCCTTGAAGAAAGGATGACACCCATTCGTGAGCTAAGCCCCGTACTCCAAGACGGTAAAGCTTTTCCAGAAGAGTAGGGTGATCAACCATATCAAATGCTTTAGTCAGGTCAAAATTTATTCCCAGTGCAGCGTCTCCAGAATCTAGGGCTCCTGACAAGAATGATACAACATGATTGACTGCGTCGAGGGTCGATTTTCCCTTTATAAACCCAAACTGGTGGGAAGACAAGATATTATTTTCCTCCAAAAATGACAAAGGCTTCTGTGGCAGAGCCCCAAGGGAATTTACCTCTTTCCTCTTTTGATGGCTCATCTACAGACCAAGACATTTCTTTAGAGACCCCTACCAAGTTTCTAAGCCCAGTCGTTCTCTAAAATTAGCTGTGACAAAAACCCCGTTTCCCTCCATAAGAATAACATGGGATGGGAATTTAAAGGCCACGGGGGCAGAGCCCCAAGGGAATTCAACTTGTTTCTCTTTTGATGGCTCATCTACAGACCAAGACTTTTCTTTAGACACCTCTACCGAGTTTCTACGCCCAGCCGTTCTCTCAAAATAGCTGTGACAAAGAAAAACAGTTTCAAATTAATATATAGATATTAAAGCGTTATTATTCGTCTAATGGTTACGGATAAAATTCAGAAAAAATTTAAATTAAAAATGTCTATGTTATTATTATGTAAAATAACTATGCACGTATTTTGATTATTTTTGGAAAATGTATTTATTTAATAGTAAGCTATTAACATTTCCCACTAAAAAACTCTTTTTAAATTCCCTATTGCAGCAAACCTTAGTACTCGTTAAACCAAAGCCATTTTAATAGGGAATAAATGTATTATTTTTAAGGAGATATTATAGAGTAAATCCAATCAGGCAAATGGAAATTCGCTTACTGCAGGTTTTCTGTGGTGGGGGTTTTTTATATTACCCTTCTAAAGTATCACCATACGGACAAATAAAAAATATAAATAAAAAATTGGGTACTTGTGTTTAAACCATCGGGTGTGGCAGTGTAGCCACGCATTGGTGATTATTTGTGAATTGACTGGCAATCAGGACATAATCGTTGATGTTGGAAGTGTATACTGAACCCTTAAATTTAATCAGAGGAGACAACCAACCACGAAACACAGGCCCAATGAGCCAGCTTTGATGATTACTAATGTTAATTTAAGCATTTTTTACTACACATTAGAATGAACTTTGAACCAATAAAATAATTACAGATCAAATGATTCGACACAACGTGAACTATTAATGGAAGTAATAATATAAATATTGATATTAAATGGTGACACTGGAAATTACATTAAAGTTATTGATAGCTGAAAAGTGCAAGGAATAAGTTTATTGTAATTAAATTAATTAACCTCTAACACCATACCTACAAGGGGCCTTACCCCCATGACCCATTAGTCTACGAAGCCTTCTCGCTCGTTTCAAGGATGCGGCACACCAACCAGTGGTTCCATACACACTCCAATGATGTGGTCGCTGCGCATGCGTGACCATATTGTCCTGTGTTTAATCCTGGGGGTCACTGTGTTTAATATATTGTTTATGTAGTTGTATATATTGTTTATGTAGTTGTATATATTGTTTATGTTTGTGTTATAGAAAACGCAGAATGCACAGACGACTCCATGTGTACAACAGACAAGGCCTGTATTAGGCACAAGTGTGTAGACCCTTGTCTGGACTATTGTGGGCTCAATACTGTGTGTAGAGTGGTCAACAATCGACCAGTGTGTGCCTGCCTGAATGGATTCTTTTACAAACTAGACAAAGGCTGCCTTCCTGAGTGTAAGAACATTTTTGAACTGCTAAAATTGAACTTTAACTAATGTGCTGGATTTAAGATGTAGGATATTGGATATACTAGATTTTTGGGGGGAAGTGTTAAGAGTAAGCTTGATGAGTTGTAAAATAATTATTTAATATGCAAACTGCACAACGCATTTGCTTTAGTAGAGTAGACCTATGTTAGATGAGAGACATACTCAGTGGTATTGACAAGATAGGTTTGAGTATAGTGAGCTTTAGCTACGTTGAGCATCTCTTTTTGCTGTCATATACAGGATGCTGGTATATTTGTCCAACTTGTTAAATGGCTCCAATATATTATTGGATTCATCTTATGTTATTTATTTATTTATTTATTTTACCTTCCAACGGTCAAGAACCAATTTACAATGTGTTGTATAGATGACTTAATCTAACTTAAACATATACATACAAAATAACACAACCTACCAACGTACGTATGTTGTCACGTTGATAGGATGTCAGAGCAAAAAGTGTTGGAAGGCTTAACACCCCCCAACAGTTCTAGTAATGTATTTTTCTTTTGTCGTCACTAGGATCTAAAGGCGACCTAATGCATGCTGGATGGTTTCATATTTGTAATCTTCTTGTGTCACAGGGATTCCGGAATGCCAGACTCACTCTCATTGCCCGGAGGACCGCTCATGTCGTCTGCAGAGGTGTGTAGATCCTTGTGAGGACGGAGTGTGTGGCAATAACACAGAATGTCACGTCAATAACCACTATCCTGTGTGTTCATGTAAAGTTGGTTACATAGGAGATGCCTACAATGAATGTGTAACTTACTAAGTATAAAAGAATTGTTACGATAAAAGGATTGTTCATGTATTTCACGGGGAAAGCTCGTGAAATAGTTTTACTATGTCAGTGTTACAAGATCAGTTATTTTTTTGACCAGGTTACGGGGAAATGTAGCAAGCTACTAGCAATGAATGTCACCTGTATCTATAATCTAAACTTCCCCTCTACACTCACTGAACAGCTTATATACCAGCCTATGTTGATGGCATCACACCACCCAACCATCTATTTTTATAAAATTTCTAATAAGGCACTTACAACTATAATAAGTACTGTACAATTGTGGTACCGGTACTATGATGATGCCAGTGAAAATGATCTGTAATTGTGAGGCGAGTGCGTTTATTGCCTAAGGACCTTCTCAAAGGTTTGTATTCGTCATGAACATGTAAACATTGAAAACCATCATAAGAATAAAATATTCTGTCATTGGCTGTGTGCTGTGTGCACTTCATTCAAAATTCACTGTCATCTTAGCTGTCTCCTTCCAGGGTTAATTATTACCACATATGTACAATATATTTTAATGGTACAGTTTTAATATAATTGTCATTAAACTTTCTACAACTGGACTTTTGAGACAATTTAGTTGTGAATCCAATCATTGCAATTTTACAGACAGTTCAATTAATTATAGCAGTTTCAATGATCCAGAAGTCAGTGCAGTTTTCAAGGATCCATTCAAAGCAAGAGTTGCAGTCAATTTAGTAGTTTTAGATCAAAATTAATTAAATTTAAAATGGGTGACACTGTTGCAGGTTCAATTGACAATGAGGAAAACATCCAAAAGCCAATTCAAACGAAAAAAACCTTCGTACTTGTCAAAGAAATGGTCAGTATGATAAACCCTAAACATAAAAAGCCCTTTCTTAATGTTTTTGAGCTTTTTTCCCTAATACATTAACAATTTTGTACATTTTTAGACGGGTATTTCTTAGTTTGATTTCTTTTAAAAGCTTATAATTTCCACGCAATCATTAAAATATGTGGATTTAGCATAAATATTTTTCTTTGTACTGTATTACACAACACAATTTGAAATAAAGAAAGAAATATGTTGTAGATTTTTGATGGCACTGTAATTTTAAGACTTAGATATAGAACCTTTAAATCTGTATTAGGGCCTAAGTATATATTCACCCCTTTTCTGTGTAGACGGAAAAAGTTAAATTAAAAAAATACTTTATTTGATTTGCATTTTATGTATTTACAGAAATATAAGAATGATTTATGAAAATACTATATTTTGAAGCCAACAATCTGTAAATAGATTATTCACCATTTATGTGTTACAGAACACATGGTCGGACGCCCTGAGTGACTGCATTGATCGTGGAATGAATCTGGCGTCAATCGAAAATGATGAGGAGTGGAACACTTTTCTTGAAACCACCAGGGGTGAGTAGTTTTTTTCAAAATACAATGGTTTCACAATGGTTGACAGTATACCAGTATTAAATTATCCATGGAGTTGTTAAAATTTATTTTCTTAATTTAATGTAATTCATTCTGAACTAAGTTGACATAAATTATAACCAGTTTGAAACCCCTGTTATGGCCTTGTGAATGATCTATTCATAGATTGGACTACACGTTTATAGTAAGAACATCAGTGTGTGGACTTTTCTTCTACAAATACCTTAAGAAAATCCAATACCATTTACAAATCTGCACATTTAGCCGCCTCTTTTAATGTGTAATTTTATATATGTGGTAGTAAGTCTGAAAAAAATAAAAATTATTGATAACAATTTTTTATGTAGTAAGACAGAAAATAAAGGATGCATGGATAAGTCAAAACAAAGGAAAAAGTTCTATCAGCCGAATAGGATAACAAATCCACCCATCCCCCTTCTTCACCATCACTGGGGTCTTCAGTCGGCGTTAGGCATTCAAAACGTTTTCGTGAGAGAAGTAGGGTAACCTTGAAAACACCACACTATGACATAAGTGCAGCGAAATGTCGTAAACAGAGAATTTAAGTCTGTAATTTTATTTCAGTATTTTTAATTTTTTTTTATTTGTGTTTGTGTGTAAAATGGAGGAGTGGTGACAAGGACTACGTTCTCTCTATTGCAACGAGGTATTTAATGCCCAAAAATAATATCTAACAAAATAATGAACTAAAAATAATATCGTTTATGTTGTCCAGACAATCATGTATGGCTTGGTGGTCATGACTTGGGTAACTATCCGTATTTCCTATGGATATCCACTGGAAGACAACTTTCATATACCCATTGGACAGCTGGTGAGCCAAGATACAGTTCTTACCACTGCTTGTTGGCTAATCAACGGGGATTTTCAAACACAGTTTGCTCCAACACTTATTATTATTTATGTGAACAAAGAAAAAACTATAGCTGAGAAGCTTACTCCTATATTTAGATCATAGGCATACAATTTGATCGATAATTTTATGTATAGTTATTATTCCAAGCTGCATTTGCATTTCCTTAAGTTATGCTTCTATCTTCTTATTTATACAGCCATTGGAATTAATATTAATTTTCCAATCGAATAAAGAGAAATGTCAATCGTATAGTATAATGCATCTTTTTTAATTTCCCCCATATCCAGGATATATTTAGAAAGTCTTATTTTCAACATTTTTCAGTTTTAGTTTTGCTAAATATTAGTTTGGGACCCCCAAAATTACCCCCGCAGCAGCAAACCTCCAGGCTCAGAAAATTAGTAATAAAGAGTTTTTTTGGAATTTTCTCCATAACGTACTAAATTATACTAGTATTCTAAATTGCTTTGATGTACTAAATTATTTGTTTAATTAGGTTCTACATAATAGTTTGGAAAGAAACTGTATAAATAGAAATAATCACGAAAATAGTTGATTTATGTTCTTCCCACTGAATATGTAATTTATATTGGATAGAGAGAGTGTACAATCTCTGCTACGGGTAAAATACCGTCCCTTATCACTCTACCATCAGTGGTGACCCTCACAGCAGATGAACTAATGCCTAGTGTAATCTAAAAACCACATTTTACAACATGAAACACAGGTCTAGTATCAGTAAAGATGACTACTGTATTTCAAATTATGGTCTCTTACACAAGGACCTGGTTTATCTTTTTAATGCTTTTCGTTCTATATCATTATATAGAGTTAATCAGGTGTAATAAGTTGAGTAGATTCGTAAGGCATTTACTAGCATTGTCTATTTGATGCTTTGTGACAAAGGGACATAACCGTTTAGAAGGCGACTACGGTGGAGGTGTGAGCTCACCGTTATATCTCACCCTGTGTGACGCAGTGCGGTGGTTAATTTGTCAACATTTTCCCCGAGCGAATCTTCGCTCCACTTAACCAGTGCTAACTAACCACAGTTCACACCATGTGTGGTTAAAATATTACTGTTTTGTTTATTTGAAAATTTGGCAATACAATATTTATGATTAATTGCAATGTTTGATAAAATAAAATCAGTTCATGTGTTTTGAAAATAATTTTAGTTACTCACTATTCATGCTGTACTATAAATTTGATTTTTGAATCATATTTTTAATATACCGAACAAAATGCTTCACAAGATACTAGAAAACTAACATACAGATACTATAACAAGATACTATAACGTACATACATATAATTTAAAGTACTGAAGTATGTTTGCCTATAGACAAGTTTTGTATAACATTGTCTATTAAATAAAGTGTCAGATGAAGTTTTAACAAAATATGATTTTAAGGTAGTTAATTAGATTGTAACCTAACAATTGAGTATAAACTCTTATATTTTAAATGTGGCATCTAGTATGGTGATTTCGTTTTTTTTTACTTGGCCAAATAGCGCTGTAAGGCCTGTAATTATTTAAATTTTAATAACAGTAAAAATATAAATTTTTCGTTAATTAGTCTCCTCAATTCTCTTGGGGATATAATTTTGTTTCCAGCCAAGTTCGTACAAAAACTCAAACTATTTTCACCTTTACTCTATCATAAAAATGTAAGACACAAATTCTAGTTATATTTTAGGCCCTGACATACTATTTTTATAAATATATAAATTTGTCTACATTTATAACGTTAAATCATAGAAAGACTTGTAAAACACGTCTTCATGAACAGAAAATCTTGTTCAAGTAAGTCTAATGCAAAAAAGGTGTGTATCTATATAACACTAATCATCATATAATTTTAGTTATGTACATTAATAACAA